CATGATCATCTACTTCTTGAAGGGACATGGTACATAGAAGAATAATAAAATCTACATGAAGAAATTCTTCCTTTTAATGATTTTAAAGCAATCTCATAATTTGTATCAGTTATGGAAAATGTGAAATTATTTATAAGATAATTGCATAAATAAGTTAAGATTAGCCAAATTGGCATGAGCATCTGCACAATTTTGAATTTACATAAAAATATTTTTAAATTTAAATTTATCTTAAACCACTAAATACTGAAAATTTAGATTTGACTAAATTACAATGTGGACATTCCTTTTGACTTCAATATCCCTTCATACAATGATTCTTCACATCTTTTGCAAAACTCAAAGGAGTTTCAGAAAGTTGTGATTGTACAGAACTAGTGTATTCTGGTTCTTTTTTTTTTAATTGTCTGATTGGTAATCATAATCATTAATGTAAATTCTATTTTCATCACAAATGTCAACCATTTCCATATTAATCAATTCTATCAAGCCATTTTGAAAATGATTCCTCTCATCTTTCAAACAAAGCTTTGTCAAATCCCCTTTTATCCATTTTTTTTACTACTCAAATCATTAAGAGTTGCAGTAATTCTTGACTTATAAACTGTATTGGTTCTATTTAATACACATGTATGGTTGTTGTATGTCATCATTTTAACTATATATATATATAGAAATTAAACAATACTCAAAACACAAAATTGCTTAATCAAAATATGTCACAAGAAAACTCTAGAGTTATTTAAAAGAAAGGGTTATTCATTGGCTCCAGAGTGACTCTATGAATTAATGAAAGATGATCTCATATTGGTATCATTGTCATTCATTGGCACCAGAGTGACTATGGATTAATAAAAGATGATCTCATATTAGCATTGCTGTCTAGACAAAGAAAGAGTTGCATATCAACTTTTTTTGACCATACAAGTTAAAATGACCAGAGGGAAATTCTTAGTTATTAAATGATGAAATTTGAACTTTTACATTGATAGATTAATTTTTAGTTCTTCCTTTGAATTTGTACAAATTATTTCAGATAATCAGTTTATTTCTCAATTTCATTGGTAGTTATCAGCTGTTGATGAACAATCATTTCGTTTATGATGTTAAATCTCACATTTGGGTATTGTGACATTTTGAGAACTGATGCACCATCACCTTGTCTTTTCTTTCTGCCATATTGACATCTTGTGGCAAGACTATGATCAACATAAATGTCAATAGGACAGTAATAATTGATTTCATACTTTTTAAAAGTAATTTTATCTTGTTGATATTTTAGTAGATGTTTTTACCAAACAAATCACTGCATAAAAATCTTCAATCAGTAAGGTAAATTTAGTATTGACAAATACAATAATTATAATCCAAATGCTGCTTTTAAACTTACCTACCTTTGACTTCACTTGAGGAATTCTTTAAACTGTTGATGGATGATGATATCAAGTCACTGAAATTATCATTATTTTTTGTAATAATGACTTATAAAAGCTTAAATAATTTACTTTTCTTTAACTTAATTCTATCAAAAAAGTGAAATGTTTCCCAAATTAAAAAAAAATGAAATTTAAAAAATCATTTGAGTAAATCTGTCTTTTTTTTTTACTTCTCTATATACAGTGGGGAAAATAAGTATTTCATCCCATGCTGATTTTATGAGTTTGCCACTTTACAAAAATAGGAATAGTCTATAATTTTCTGGGTAGGTGTGTCTTGAAAGTCAGAGACACAATATAAAAAAAATTCTATCCATCTTTCCCTCAACCCGGTGTAGTCGTCCAGTCCCCTTAGCAGACAAAAAAGCCCCAAAGCATAATGTTTCCACCACCATGTTTAATGGTTGGGATGGTGTTCTTTACTTTTTCTCCAAACACGGTGAGTTGAGTTGATGCCTCTGTACAAGGTCAGTTGCATTCATAGTTTTTTGGCAGCAAGACAGGATCCTCAGTGACAAAATATTGATTGGTTTAGTTTCTTTTTATGATGTATCAGCCTTTTTGCAGATTATTTAAATCCAAAAAATATTTTTAGATTGTAAGAATTTTTTTGAGATAATAAGAGTTTAGTGATAGAGATCTTAATAATTAACCCATACTTGGGGGGAGAAGAGTTAGATTCATACTTTTTCCAAGGATATTTGAACATAAGTGAATGTAATGAACCGGACTGCAATTGGAACTCTGCCCTCCAATTTCCTATTCTGAGCCATTACCTATTACTCCACCTACACATCCAAGCTTACAGCACCTAGTATTTTCATGTGTTCACCCATCTAGGTACTGACCAAGCTTGACATTGCTTAACTTCATTGATTGTATAAGAACTGATGACAAAATTTTGATGATTGAGAGTTCATCTAAAAGTGAAATATATAAAATTAAAACATTTTACAAATAATTAAAGTGATTAACTTATTAAGTGCTGGTAAACAAAAGTGATAGATTAAAGTAAAAAAATCATTGGTATTTCTTTCATAGCCATATTTTAACTCAAATCTAATTGCCTCTTTTTGTTTGGTTATGGATGCAAGAGTTTTGTCATCTATATCAAATCTCTTAAGAAAAGAAACTTAGCTAAGCTGGGAGATTTTGATGAGCAAAATTTCTCAGCACACTTTCAAAAACTAGAAACTGAATGCACAGTTAAAGGTTTTCACTGGAAACTTTTTCACACACCTAATATAAAGTTTGGGGAAGTTATCTTTGTACGGAATCTATTAGCATGAAAATGTAAGGTTACTAAAATTCATTCAGCTAAGGAAAATGGAGATGGGCAAGCAAAAGCTGCCAAATAAAAACTACTTTGGTCAGTAGTTGATCTTTTTTTCCTAGAAAACATTGGGAGAATTACACTGATGGAATTATTTTTCAAAGCATATACAGTATAAGATCTTTCAGACTGTGTAATATGTGGTTTGTTTAAGCCTTTTCTTCCAGAGATGTCTGAGATAGTTGCATACCTACTTTGCAGCACCGGTTGAGGAACATCAAAGGTTACTGATAGAAAAATATTGTCATCATATATATGTTGGAACAAAGATAAAATTATTTAGAAACTTCATTTTGAGAATCAGTTATCTTCCACAAGTGAACAATTGTTTTCTTTAATATCCATGTGTATAAGATTTAAAATAAAAATGTGATAAGAAAGAAAAAGAAAATAGTGATTTTTTTTTTGGTTTTGTTTTTATTATTAGCACTGTCTTTGTAGAAATATTGGCTAGGAAAATCCATAAAAAACACAGCAATGAAAGAGTCAGATGTGAAGTGAAATTCCTACTTATCCAGAAGATATTGGCATAAGATGGTGTCAGCTGTACTTATATTTTGATTCATTATCTTCACTTGGCTGACTGCTTTGCTTAGATCAGTACAATTGCTATTTTGTAACAGAAAACAACATCCACAAAACAATCATTTAATATAAAAAAAAGAATTCTATTTAAATGGAGTCCTTTTTTTTTTTTCCTTTTTACCAACAGAATCAACATTGGGGGGGAAATCCGCGAACAAATTCATGTTAAAAAAAATCTCAGTCTTACTTTTCTACTGATAACCTGTATTTGAGTCAAAGCATCATTGCCAGGGAAAAATATGGCCCATTGGAATATTGTAGATACAGAAAAGTCCAGAGGAAAAGACTATCCAAGAAAATGTTTTGAGTTTCACAATGTGAATGCAAACGTTGATTGAATTTTTCATGTTTTCATATTTTCATTTATAAAACAAGTTCCAGAAGGAAAGGAATCATCTTTGATTGTAATTGTTGTTGGGAGTAGAGTTTTTATATTTATTCATTTGCTTTGGATTAAAAAAATGAAAACAGTTTGATATATTCTCTATATTTTGTTTAAAACCATTTTATTTATGAATGACCATTCACATATGATCAGAGAATATAGTTGCTAGATTTCCAATAATGAATGAAAACACCTCATTCCCCAAATAACCAGTCTTTTGTTCTTGTTTATTTGGAAAGTATTTCTTTTTAATTCTGTATTTTTCTTAGTTTATTTACAACCTTCACAAACAACTTTATTCTTTTATCTATCAAATTTCTTTTTTTCACAGGGTAAATAATAAAAATGGAAAGAAACAAACATTCAGGAAAATATTTCAGTTTACCATTTTTCTTATTGTTGTAGGAAATATAAAAGAAATTGGTGTAAGAAATATCCAAATTTTTTTGGTTCAGGATGTGAGCTCTTAGCAGGAGAACTTTCAACAAAATTAAAACAGAGTAATCAATAAGATCCTAAAAATATTTCTTTTTGAACTTGCATGTCAAGTCAACATTGTTGAGCATTTCAGTAAATATTACCTCTGTCCGATAATAGTTGTTACACTTTGAGTATGAACTGTGTATGCAAATCTGACAGCTATTCTGGGACGGAGGTAGCATCAACCATATTTCAATTGGTAACCCTTTTTCTTCATACTGTTTCAACAGAGAATGATGCCATTTTACCTTTGAAATCTTATGAAAACAGATTACCAAAGAAAATATTGGATTAATAACAAAAAGCAACACAACGATGATGAATTTTCTAGACCTAAGACAGTTTTGTTGACAATTTCTTTGAGTGAATTGACAAATGAGTGTCCCTGTCAGAAGAGACAGCACTAACTGGAATGGGCACCAAATGTTTGGCACCAGCATCTCTCTCTCTCTCTCTTTTCCTCTTGATGAATAAATATAGCAGAAGCTGGGTGCATATTTGTGTGTGGAAAAAGCCTTTAAAGACACCCCTGATTAGATTCTGTTTAGTGCTGCTCATATGGGGAAGGGGGAGATGTGGACGGCTGGAGGGGGGGCATCAGTTCAAGCCCCACTGCCCCAACAATTATCAGTTGTATAAAAGGCAGTGGCTATTTTGTTGGTTGGCAGGTCACTCCCAGACCGTTTTTTTTTTTTTTTTTTGCTTTTTTAATAGACTTGGGATAATGAGCAATGATGATGATGATGATTGTAATGCTTGCGTTCCAAGAGACAATTCTTCACTATGATCCAGTCAGGATGTATTTCCAAACTTGTGTGCGACTTGCAGGGTCACACTGCATTGCTATAAGTCCACGGTTAGGGTAGTCCTTGCTATCAATACATAAATTGTACATGTGATGTTTCAGCATACTCCGTTTGTTCACATGATTCCATCTCTAACAAAAAGAACAAAAAGTTGTTAGTTTAAATAGTTTTTGTAATATATACTGTAATTTCTGAAGAATTAATCAGATTTTATTTGTAATCTAACATTATTTATTATTATTTTAAATGTTATATTAAGTGAATACACTTTTTCTTTTAAATGTAAATTTACATCTATGTCTGCATTGAATCCAAGAGTCTTAAAAAAATGTGTCTTCCAGTAAGGTTCAAAATTTACTGGGCTGTGAAAACTTTCCATGGCTGAGAGTGGGGGTGGCTGCTGGCTAAAAAAAGCCAGTCTAAATGGTAGTTTCTTCTATTGGGGGATGCTGGTTTGAATCCTGTCAGAAAAACACATTTTCTTCATTAAGACACTTGAATACATAGGACGGTAGATGCTAATTTACACTGTTTAAACAAAACAAATAAGAAATAGACAGGGATGTTTCTTAATCATGTGTACTGACTAAATAATAACCTTTAAAGCAATAACAAATGTATACCATATGTGAGAAATTTCACAACAGAATTAAATGGCAAATTAGGGGAGATTGAAATATACAAAAAAACAAATCATGTGACCAAAGATATCTATGTTCATACTGGTTTCTAAAACCATTTTTATATGACAATGTGTTATGCAAACAGAAAAGCTTCATACATAAACACACACATATACCTGTATATATATGTATATCTTCATTTAAACATGTTTCATTGAATAATATAGACATATTGTGACTACTTATTTTTATACTAATCCTTTCCAGTTGTCTGATTAGTTTCTTGATGTTGAGATGAAATTCATCAAAGAAGGCAGCATAGTTTGTTTTTTCAACCCAAGTACTTTCGACCGTTTTTAAGATCATCTTCAAGAGTAAATTACAAAGACAAACTTATTTATCACAGTTACAATAAGTTTATCTTTCTAATTTACCTCTGAAAATGATCTTAGAAAAAATTTGAAAAAACTATGGCGCCTTATTTGCTGAATTTCATCTTAACATCAAGAATCTGATTAGACACCTGGAAAGGATCACTATAAAAATAAGTAGTCACAATATGTCTAGATTATCTAATGAAATGCACATACACACACACATATATATATATACACAATTTTAAAAAAATATACTATGTTGATGATTGCAAAAGCGTGAAACCTGGTGTTACAAACTACTATCCAAGCAACTGAATATGTTAGTTCTATCATGGATATTGAGCACTTTCCACTAAGTACTGCACATATAAAAATATACATACATACATACATACATACATACATACATACATACATATATATATATATATATATTATATACAAATAAAATATATTTGTACCTTTTACATATAAAAATAGGTATTAGTATTATACACAAGATTGCAATGGATATGAATAAATATTGTAATTTTTCAAACCATTTACAAAAATTAGATTTTAATTAGAATGAGCAACAAAGATTTAGCAACAAGGTAAAAATGTGTTTCAGACCAAATCGTGTATTCAGATTCTGAATCTATATTTAGATTTGGTGCAGCATGTTAGCATATTGTGTTTAATAGATGTGCACAATTAGGGAGCCCTAAAATGGCAACATTTTGTTTGCTATCTAGACAAATACTAGACTGAACTTAATGTAATGATTTTGAATCCATATTCAGAATTATCCTTGCACATCAAATATGTACACAAGATATTTTCAAGGTAAATATCATATTAATAGTGTAGTGGTATCCACTTGAGGTGGTGTCATAGGATTCATTCATGTTAATTGAACAGAATTTTCTTGTATTTGAAAAAGTCGAAAACTATGCTGACTTAAGCACTAGCTGCATATTAAATAACAGAATGTTGGCTGTCTCTTAAAATGCATTTCTTGTATTCTCATCTCTATTTCTTTCCAACAGATTCTGGATGCTGTGTATAATGAGCAGGCTGAAAGGTTCTACTAAGACATTTCTGAGATAGAATTTAGGTTACAAGGCCAGTTCAACAGAAACATAGTTGATTCATACAACAGGAGACCAACTTAACAATCAAGCACAAATCTCTCAAATATCTCTGAAGTTATGTGGAAAATATCAGTAATAAAGTGAATCTCTGATATTTATTTAATTATTACCAACTGCTATCTAAATTTTCTTTGAACATATATATGCTACATACAATGCTAATACATAATCAATATTTATCTTGAACATATACTATGTGCATATTTAAAAGACTCTGTATAAGATTTAGAATCAGTGTAAACGATTTAGTCTTGCACGGAATCATTTGTCTGCGGAACAAAGTTTTGTTGTTCCTTAGTGTTATTATTGTGTTAATGTGACTGATTTGTATAGTTGAACCTAAGTATCTGTCTATATTTCTGAGATGAGGTATTATGTACATTATTTACATTATTCAGATTATTGTCCTCATCTTTGTTGCCATATTTATTACAATGTTTCTGCTGTTGTACACTCCGGCTATCTTCAGGTGGTTGGAATGTCATACGGAACCCTTTATTTCACTCACTGAGGTAGACTGTTCTAGTTCCATGTGCCATGTTTAATGGATGTCAGTTATCAGTTCTCCTGTTAATTTCCCTCTGAAAGTTCTCCACTGCCTTAACTGGGTATTGAACTCACACTGTTTGGGTCCTGTCACTGGATCTAATCACTGTACCATGTGTCCTCAAGGACACATGGCACAGTGGACAAAGACGTTGGTTAGATACAGTGACAGGACCCAAAGAGTGTGAGTTCAATACCTGGTTAAGGCAGTGTGAGTTCAATACCTGGTTAAGGCAGGGGAGAACTTTCAGAGGGAAATTCAGAGGGAAATCCAGAGGGAGATCCAGTGACAGGACCCAAACAGTGTGAGTTCAATACCCAGTTAAGGCAGTGGAGAACTTTCAGAGGGAAATTAACAGGAGAACTGATAACTGACATCCATTAAACATGGCACATGGAACTAGAACAGTCTACCCCAGTGAGCGAAATAAAGGGTTCAGTTCGACAGAGTGTACAACGGCTGAAACATTGTAATAAATATGGCGACAAAGATGAGGACAATAGTCTGAATAATGTAAATAATTAACCTAAGTAATATGATGTGAATTTGTTGTTCCCATTATTGTACTTATCATTATTATTATTATAATAATTTAAGGGAAGAATTTTGCCACTAATGATGTGTGCTGTCTTTTGTTTATGATGCATTTTCCCAATAAAGTGTTATTGTCTAGAATAATCCTCAATATGAATAATTTGGAAAGAATTATGGATTTTCAAAACAATTTATAAATTTTTATCTTTGCTTTAAGAATAAAGTCCAATAATTATTCTTATAATCTGAAGAGCTATCAGTTCATCCCATAAGTTCTGTCTGAATTTTGAATAAAGAAAATAAGTGACCAAATGTTACATTTAATTACAGATTCAATCAACAATGTATTTTCCCTGATTATCTATGACTTCCTTCCATCTATTAACAAGCTTACTAATTCCATTACTGTAAAATTCTTTTGGCTTTGATTCGAAGAACTCACAAATGTCAGTTTTAACCTCTTCCTGTGTTACAAAAGCTGTTTCTTCCAAATGATTCTGTAAGCTACAAAACATATGGTAGTCTGAAGGAGCAAGATCAAAAGAATAAGGTGGATGAGGAATTTTCTCCCAACCAAGTTCTTCGATCTTTTGTGACGTGTTACTTGCTGTGTGGGGTCGCGCATTGTCCTGATGAAACATCACATTTTTTCGATTCACTAGACCAGATCTTTTTTTCCTCAAAGCCTGGTTCAAACGCTCTAATTGTTGACAGTATATTTAAGCATTAATTGTTGCATTAGGTGGTAAGAATTCAAAGTGGATTATTCCTTGGCAATCCCACCAGATTGAAAGAAGAACCTTTTGCCCATGAAGTTCCCTTCTCAGCTGTGGCTGGGGTCCTTCCCCTTTACCAAGCCACTGTCTAAGATGCTTAACATTTCGATAAAAGATCCATTTTTCATTGCCAGTCACAAGCCCACCCAAAAAGTTGAAACAAGTTGGTGAGAATGGAGAGAAGAGCAGATGTCAACTCGGGATTTGAGGTTGTTTTCAGATAATTCATGAGGCACCCATTTTCCAAGTTTAGGAACTTTTCCAAGTTGTTGAAGATGATGATGAACAGTTGTATGGTTTGAACTGAGAACCACTGCCAATTCCTCAAATGATAAAGCAGGATTTTCTTCAAGGGCTGCTTCAAGAAGCTTTTCATCAAACTCAACTGGACGTCCGGTTCGATCTTCATCTTCAAGGGTGAAATCTCCACCTCTGAATTTTGCAAACCATCTTCTGCAAGTTCTTTTATTCACACATTCCTCTCCATAAACTGAGTGAATGTTTCTAGCCGCTTCGGCTGCTGAGTTTCCTTTCTTGAACTCATAAAGCATTATGTGCCCCAAATGATTCTTGGGTACTTCCATGTTAGCAGGGTTTTAATCAAACAAAATTTAATTTTATTGTTCAATGAAATAAAATTTGATCTGTTTAAATGCATCTAAACATAAAAATAATGTTCAGCTCCATTAGACATTATAAAATACTCTTTAAATTTCGTTCATTTTAACAAAAAGTTAAAATTCGGACAGAACTTATGGGATGACCTGATATAAAAATTACAACTTGAAATCATGAATAATTGTCTACAGATAAAATATATGTATTGACAAGACAGAGCTATAAAATGTTTTTTTTTGTGTTTGTTTGTGAAGTTGTTTGGTTGTCAGTCATTTTTTGCTTCTATCATTTAATTTCACTTACCTGAAAAGGGTTTGCATTTGAACACACTGTTAATGTAAGTTCTGTAGATGAAGCATTATTAGGTAATGTCACACACAGGCCAAAATGGTTGATATGACCAGATTCAGTGTAAAGCCAACCCTAATATGAATAGAAATAACAGATCATTAAGAAATGTATAAACATACTGCATGCTATATAAAACTATATATATATATATATATGTAAGATTTAAGAAACAGCAGATATTTTTATATATAGTGCTCAATACTAAAAATATTAAAATAATATTAAAAACTGAGTGTTAATGATATGATATGAAAAGATTACTTAACTTTTAAATATCAATTTTTTTCCTGACATTGATGTATTTTTTTAAAAAGCAATTCACCCCAAGCAAGATGGGAGTACCACTAGCATGCAAGAGGCGACAGAAGATTGAGAACAAGAGTAAAGAGGCATGTTTGAGGATAGGATACAGAAAAGGACAGGGAACAACCTCAGGGTGTCAGATGTCGATTCCCATTACACTTGAATATTTGAAGATTATAGTCATCAGGGAAGTAAGTAAGGGGAAGGGAGTTCCACAGACAGGAAGTGCAGGAGAAGAAGCTGATGGTTATATTTAACCATTTTGACAGTGAAAAATTGGGACCGAGATGCCTGGTAGCTCGTTTAAATTCATGTAGTCCAGGAACCAGCAAAAGTAGCTCGTCAGAACAGTTGCCATGAAAATACTTGTAGAAGAGACAGAGGGAGGACATGGCACATCTGTGGGATAGTGATTGTAGACTAGATGCCAGATCAGGACCTATCATATTGCATATTCGTCTCTGGATTTTGTTAAGGACCTCGATACATACAGCGAGAGCACCAGACCATATATGACAGTTTCACTTTGATCCGTGTCTTTTTCAATATGATTTTTTACTCTGTTTTTTTACTCTGTTTTTTACATGTTTGTACTCATGAATTTAACATTCTTTTACACATGCACGTTTATTAAATTTTACCTTTGTTTACGTATTTCATTTTTTTAGCTGTAGATTATTCTTTCAGTTGTAAATTTTTTCTTAGAAATTAAATTTAATATTTTTATGGTTTATATAGGTGTTAGGTTATGTTATATTATAAATTAAATTGTAATATTTGTTAATTTTTATTATTAATTAAATTATAATATTTTAGTCAATATTTTTAATTAATATTTTAATTTCATTCATTATGTTATATAATTATTAAAATAACAAAGTAAATATTCATAAATATTTATGTGTCTAGAAGAAAAATTATCAATATTAACTTCTAATAATCAAATTAAATAAGAAGAATGAAATAATGGGTTGATGCCGACATATAAACAAATATTTATTTTGGTACTTTATTAATAATATAACATAATAAATTAATTAAAATATTAACTAAAATAATAGTAACTAAAATATTGTATTTTAATTAATAATAAAAAATTAGAAAATATTACAATTTAATTACTAATATCACATAACAATTTCTATATAAACCATAAAAAATTAAATTTAATTTTGAAAATTTACAACTGGAAAAATAACCTATAGCTGAAAAAAAGAAAGATGTAAACAAAATCAAAATTTCATGCATGTGCACATGTAAAATAATGTTAAATTCATGAGTATTCCTGTGTACAAAATGGAGTAAAAAAGCAGAATGAAAAAGATGCGGAAGAAAGTAAAAAATTGAAAAAAATTGGAAATACTGTTTAAAACAATCAGCAATCCAGGAAACATCTTCTTGGGAGTTGTTTCCACAAAACAGCACCTGTTCATGAGAAGATGCTACTTGAGAGGAACTTACATCTCACCAATGGAATTTGAAGGGAATGAGGGTGGGGTTTGCTACAATGTTTGTAGTATGATAAGTCTTAGCTGTGAAAGTTAGAACTTGTGCAACTAAGGAATATAGTTCATCTGAACTCATTAAATTATGGCTAATATAATGACTATATTACATTTTACCAAGCAAATATTTGGTAAAAAATATCAGCAGTTTCTAGGTTGGTCTTCATTAGTTTATAATCCTTGAATGGTCCCACTTTCTGAAAATATATGTGGCCTTTTTTTTTTTCACCCACTCAAAAGATATGCCTCTTTCCAGGGTTTGTTTGCAGTACTAATAACCCAGTAAGTTGATAAGAAGCATTACTGAACAGTTCAGCATGCCAGAGTTTACTATCAAATGCATGGTGTATGAAGATACAGGTCCTATGTTATCAGGAGAGAGAAGTCCTTGTATGACAAGATCTAGGGCAACTGTGTGATCCAATTCAAGTGTTTGCTGAGCTGACCCAAACCTTTTTTGGAGAGCCTGGTATGATTGGTTTATTTTCTAATAAGTGGAACTTGGAACAGAATCAGAAGTTAAACAGTGGCTCTACATGAACCCAACAGTGGTACCTACAGTGATGCACATTGTTCATATTGTCTGTGAATAGTCTTAGGGGATCCTGAGTAATATTGCTCCAGGATCAATGCCACTGCCCATATCAAGGCGCTGGATATAGCAGCCATGCATATTTCTGCAAGACTCTTCACACTCCTACATGGCTCACATGTCAGAGAAGTGGCTAACCAAGAAGTTTTTATGATTATGTCACCCCTACTTCCTAGCTACCCTGATGTGAAATCCCTTGATTACTATATCTAGGACAATGTTGACAAGGAGGTTGACTAAGTGGCTCCATAATACCAAGGTAAAGGAATTGCTGAATGCTACCATTTTGGATGAGATGGCAAACATCAATTAGAATCTGCTTACTTGCGTATGAAGTTGCTTACAAGGCCATTGTTGAGGCTTCTTCTTTATGTGCCATGTCCCCTCAGGACATAAGCAATCATGACTCTTCACAACTTCCTGTTTCTTGTAGTTCTTAATAAATTTTGTCTATTTGTTTGTTTCTCTTAAACCCTGTTCTGTTATCCATTTAATCAAGGTAAGTATGTTATGTCTTGTTTTCCACTGTCTCTCTTGCCTTTAATTTGTTTTGAAAAATACCAGATTTTCTAAGCCTTCTTTCCTCTTTATGTGCTCAAGAAACTTCAACTGTCTCTTGCTGATGATAAAAATTAAATTTCCTTTTTGTTTCCATTTTCTCTAAAAATTTGTCATTGCTCACATATTCAGTTCATGGTATACTCAGCATCTTTCTGTAGAACCCCATTTCTGTTGCTTCAAGTCTCTTCTTCATCTTTGAGGAGATTATTTTATAATCTTTTTCTGTTTTGCAAAGTTGGGAATATTTTTTTAAAATATACTGAAAATCTTTGCTCTCAATTACCAAACAAACCCTGTATTCATTTCAAAATCAGTGCCTTTTCTATACAATCTGGAATCTGAAAGCAGCTTTGATTCAATCATAAAATATTCAATTTATATTGGTTTAACAATATTAAAAATTTCATCAAAAGCACTTAGGGATATTCTCTCAAATACCATGTTGGAAATCAAATTAATCTTTTCTCAGTTTTTACTTGTTTATTATAAAAAAATCTTAACATTTATTAAATCTAATTTACATAGATTAAAAATTATTTTCAAGATATTCAAATGTTTATAGAAAAGATAATTATGGATGTTATAAATTGGTTATATTAATGTAATTGTATTATCATAAGTCTTTTGGAAGAAAGAAACATACCTGGTTGCCTCCAGTGTTATGGCAAAAATAAATGCTGATGCTGCCTCCCAATGTGTGTGCAAGAGTGTCCATGCACATTTTACCTTGTTTGAGCATACCTGGTGTTGGATCTTGTTGGCCAGGAATTCTGGAAAAAAAAAATCTTAGATTAATGCTGGGTTTTTAAAATTATTTCTTTAAATAAGCCTCAAAAACCTATAAGGAATATAAACCTTTTGGTAAAAATTATTAGTTCAATAAAAATAAATTCAAAAACAAATCCTATCTTTTTAATCTTTTCCAAGATGTCCACTAAATGACTTAAATACAGAATGTCTGAAAGTAAGTTTAAAAGTGAAGAGAAATAAAAAATAATGTTCAATTGTAACATTCTGAAAAAGGTCATGTGTAAATAGATGAAAATAAACGAAAGAAGAATATTCTGAGGATAAGTTGGAACATTAAAGAAAGACGAATGGAAATGAAATAAAATGCTGCATAATGATAGGGTGTTTGACTGAATGATTGATATGTTTTTTATGGCTTATCAATTTTTTGTAGGTTATTTAAAGTCAGAAAATATTTTTAGATTGTAAGAATATTTTCTGAGATAATAATTTACTGATACAAGTCTGATTAATTAATCTATAGATGGAGGAGAAGGTGGGTTCATATCTTTCTCAAAGGTATTTGCACATACATGACTAGAAAGAACCCAACTGGAATTGAAACTTGGCTCACTGATTTCTTGTACAATCTATATAGGTTCAATCAACACCAAACTTCATTTAGGATAAATAAATACAGAAATCAGACATCGCTTTCAAAGTATTTTTGGCACTTAAAAGAATCAAATAAAACACCTACAGTAAAATGGAAATTATTAAGAAAAGCTAGAATATGTAGGTCATTAAATGACCCATGTCCTTTGTGCATACATGAGAAAGTATATATTCCTAAGTTTATAAAAAAGAAAAATTTACTGAATCAGAGAAATGAAATAGCTATTTTTTGCCGTCATTGTCAAAAATTTTCCTTAAATAATATTTAAAAATAAAATTAAAAAATGTGAGCTGGTAATATACATAAACTCATATAATTTTTAATAATGTTAGCAATTCTATTACATTTACTTGTTTTTAAAAAAGAAATATAGTCTATTTAGTAATTAAGAGTAAAAATATTTTAAAATTGTAGTTAAATAAAACATATTCTAACACAAACAAACCTAAAGAAAATCTTCAAGTATAGAAGTAAGAAAAAATGCCGAAAAACTTTTTGCCGTTAATAAAAAAACCCAGACAACATGCATTTAACGGATGTCAGAATTCATTGAAAAAGACACCCCTACCCTCCCTAAACTTAACCTCTTTTTCAAACATAACTCATAACTGATACAACAATAGTTAATAAAAATGAACACACTACCGCCCTTGTCTGAATGATTGGATTTCTCTGTATCTTTGGAAACAGTAAATTATGAATTTATATGTGCGTTTAAAACTCAGTAAATTTAAAAATAATTTATTCCAATATTTGCAAAATGAAATGGAACTAATGCTTTTAATTTGATTATATAATTAAATTTAAAGTTTTTAGTTTCCATTTTTGAAACATGGTTATTACTGTGTAGCAAAAAAAAACTATATTTTCAATCAGTTAATTTATAATATTTATGCTCTGTAAATTTACATTGAGCACTGTTTTGTAAAAATAAAAATAAAAGATATCAATAAGAACACCGGATTATATATCTTACTGTTCTTTCTTTTTATTTATATATACATATAGAGAGAAATATGATTTAGAGAAGAAAGCAAGATAAGAGATATTATAGAAGGGATTAAATGACAGAGGAAAGAAATTTGAAAGCCTATGCGAAACTCTTTTTGATATAAAATAAGGAGAAAAATTAAATTAATCAGAGAAGAATGTCTGAAGTCATGTGAAAGATTTCATTTCAGTTTCTTGTGACCAGCATTGATGTTCTTGCCAGTGTAAAATTACTTGCCAATTATATTATCATCTTATAACCAAGCATGTGGCCCTTGAAAGAATTTTCCCTCAAGAAAGCTAAGAATTTCAAACTATCTCTCTTCATCTACTTTTAAATGTATGCAAACTATATATATATATATATATATATATATATATATATATATATATATATATATATATATACTTTCATTGAACAACAAATTCTCATACCTTTGTCTTAAACATTTTTGAATATTATTTTGTGTCAGATCATTTAATTTGTTGCATGAAAATTTCCTCTTCATGACATTATGTTGAAACTATGGACTTTAAGAATTCTGATTTATTTTCCTGTGATGAGCTACTGATACTACAAGAGTGTAAATTCATGAATAAATTCCTTATCTTTCCTTGTTAAAATTATCTGTGTGTTTCCTCCTCATCATCATCGTCATCCTTCATTAACCTTTTTGGCATGAATATATCAACTGTTCATGTTAACCCCTATGCCACTACATAGTAAAAATGTGTTGATATGTTGCTCAAAGAATAGCAAACAGATTTGGAGAAGATCAGACAGAAATGAAATAGAAGGTTTTGTTTCTGAAACATGACACAAAATAGCGCTGTCGTGTTGTGGAAGAATTTGGGAATGGCTGCCACTGATTATTGATATAACAGAAAAACAAATTCAAAACAAAACAATAAAAGAAAACTACCTTTATAAATTTAAGTAACTTCAGATAACTTACTTGAGTTCTGGGTATACATTATCCAAATACCATTTAAAAGGCTTACAATGTAACCTTTTCTTTAATTCTAATCTTTCTGAGATGCTGAAAAAAAGAGGAAAATAAACATCAATAAAATAAAATTTCAGACAATAATTTCATAGCCATATTATTAGTTATTTCAAGTTTACTATCAGTTAACAAGGAGTACTTTTCATTTCAACTATTAATGTAATGTAGTGGACACAGCCTGTCTCCTGGTGTAAGTGACATAAGATTTTGCCTGTGCTTTGCATAGGAGACTTAATCTGCATGGATTGGGGTGATGTATCATGTTTTTCTATTTGGTGACCTCTGTGAGAAGAAAATTCAGCAACTGTGATAACTAATGTCTTAACTCTATCTTTTTTGAGAGGGGCTCACCTAAAGAGATCGACAGATAATGATATGGCATTTAACAGCAGGAGCTTTACAGCATTTGCTGAGAGGTGGGGTGTCCATCTGCGCTTCAAATGTGCATATGTGCCATCTGGGAATGGCATTCTTGAACAATTGCAGAAATCTACAATGCAGATTGCTGCCAGAAAGCAATGCTCTGTCCAAGAAGTGGTTTACTGGTACAATGTTACGGCAAAGGATGATTTCTGCAGTGCAACCAGTATGAGGTCTGAGTGAAAGGTGTTGATAAGATCCCTCCACTAGAGCCTGAGTCTGAGCAAGGTATGTACAAGGAAGGGGATGTCATCTTAGTAAGGAGTCCACAGGTGTACAAGTAGATGGAGGACATAGACAGTGACTGGATTTGTGAATGGAATTCCATGCCATGTGAGAGACCTTCACAATTTTTCTCATATGGGGAACAGTTTTGTAGAAGACAAAACTGCTGCATCAAGTGACAATGAGATGTACATACCTGTAACAAAGGACGAAGATGACCATTCAACTGATGTTGATTCTAACCAAATGAATGACGGTGACAACAACGAAGGTTGTCAGATTATGACAGGGATGCTGCAAGAAGCAAGTGAACTTGCTGAAGCACATCTTTGAAGAAGCAGCAGATATAAAAAGCTACTCTCCAGCTGCTACCTGTCTTATAGTGAATCGGGGAGTGGGGGAAGTGGAAACAGCCTGTCTCCCTTCACCCATGTAAGAGACATACATGGAAGACTTAATCTGTATAGACTGGGTGATGTCTCATGTGACTGAAAATTTGTGTAGTGACCTTGCTAGATACCATAAAAGCCAGCCTTTGTTAACATGCATGGGGAGTATACTTAAAGGGACGCTGCTGTTGTAACAGGAGTGAATTACAACAACTCAACTACATAAAAATAAGATTTTACAGCTTAGACATAATAATACTGAACAGTTATATGAATAGAATTTCTTTGACATTAGTCCGTTTCTCCAGTAAGTATCAAGTAGATAGATCTAAAATGATATAATTCTGTTTCTGTTTCAACTAATTCCTTTGCTATTTTGAAAGTCTCAGATTTCAAGTTTTTTTCTCTTAGCTTTTGGAACCAATTTAAAATCACTTGGCATTTGAGAGAGAGAGAGGGAGAGAGAAGACAGAGAAAAAGAAAAAGAAAGAAAGAAAAAAAGAAAAAGAAAAAGAGAGAAAGAAGAGAAATAAAACAAGAGAAATAAAAAGAAAAAGAGAAATAAAAAAAAGAGAAAGAAAAAGAGAGAAATAAAGAGAAAGCGAGAGAAAGAGAAAAAGAGAGAAATAAAGAGAAAGGGAGAGAAAGAAAAAGAGAGAAAGAAAAAGAGAATCAGACCTACAAATATGGAAGCAAATACAATTTATTCTTTTTGAATATTTTTTTATAGCTGAAGGAATCATAGAATTCATTCTTCTTTTGTTTTCTTTGTACTTTATGGATAGAAGATGTTACCTATAATATTCTCCCAATTCTGTATTTAGAAGTGTTTTACTTTTTATTTATAGTTCAATATTATTAAACTATTTATATATTTACAAAAAGGATAAAAATATGATTTTACTAACAATCATTGAATAATCTTAATATTAACCTTCTGTTAAGATAAGCACAAGACTTACATTTGGGGTTGTTTTAATTGAAACCTTGACATATTCTTAAAATAACCTTGAAAACCATGTACCTTTTTATAAATATTTAGATTTTGAAATATCAGAGAAAAATAATATTCTGAAAATATGATCAATAGATATTTAAACAAACTGTTACATATCGTTTTATATCACTTGTGATGGGAGTGATATTAATGCATAAAACAGCGATGTTAAACAAAATTTATAAATTTTATACAGATGTTTCCTAAACTAAATCTTTCGCTTTTGCATTTTCTATAATCTGAAAAAACAGTATTTTCTTCAGTATTTCTATAATTTAAAAAACATGATTAGTAGTCAAGTAAATTTACAAACATCAATTTCAATACTTAAATATATTTTTGGTATATAAGAATATTGAGGCAAAAAAAATTGTGAATTTTTTTTTTGCTCAGATAATTTAATGTGAAAATATGCAGGAGAGAAAGTAAAATTAAACAAAATTGAAATTTTTTTCATACAAGTTTTAAAATTCTAACCTCACATTAAAAATTATTGCAAATTTTTGTGACATCTACAATATTTTGTTGCTGCTTGGAGATTCAAAATATGTTTGTTGAGATGAAACCCTTGCTTCATTTACTCAAGTTTTAGTGAGGAACAGAAAAGTAATTATTCTAGGAAATGTTATTATTGCCTCCCCAACAAAAAGCTAAATTATATATATATCATTTCAAATTTTATTTTCAGAATTAAAACTTCAAATGGCTTACATGATATTTATTTTGCAATTTAAAGATATCAGAATATGGATTGCATTTCTAAAAATAAAAAAAAACAGAAAAAATTTTGTGATAGATAATTTTTTATTTCATAAAATGATATATGAAAATATTTTAACAGTGTAAAAAAAAAGGAAAACTTACTCTCCATAGGCAATGTATTTAGATGATGGTACAGCATTATAATAAAATTGCTTGTATTTTCCCATCCATACTTCAGCTGCTCTCCGAGTATTCCTGAAATTATAAATATACAAGTTTTTTTTAAACAGATTTTTCAGTTTTAGAAATTTTTTTGCAATCAAGTTGTCTACCTTAGAAAATATCTTACAATTGTACAAATGGAAGGGAGACAACTTAATCGGCTGATTATGTTATCAAATATCGAAATAAAGGCGAGACTTCATGTTTTTTTTATTAAGTTTCAAATAGCTGTCGTTGTATAATCTCAGTTTTCTTTCTCGGCGATAAAACTATCAGAATTTGTAGCAAAAAAATATTGTGCATTGGAATACAAAAATAATGATAATGATCAGATAATTTATCTGAGGAATAGTTTTTTTCTTGCTGGAAGAAATAATTATTTCAAAATGGAAAAGTGACTATATTTTTTTTTTCTTTATAAAAATATTCACAAAAATCTTACAAAACAAAAACATGACGACTCTGCAATTGTTTACAATCACAGTGCAAACAATTTTTACAAACTATTTTCATTTACTGATCTTGAGTAACCGTATGTGTGTGGAATGCCATGTTTGATCCAAGGGAGACAATTTCGACATCAACAACTATAACTATTAAAAATAAAAAATCTATGCTTCGCTATGTATCAACTTTTATGCTTAGAAATAATTTTTTGACGATTAATAAATGATATTATTCAGTTGTCGCTGCAGTAATATTCTGTTTTACTATTAACTTTTATTTTAGTTTTTTTTTAAAATATATATTTAACATCTCTTGAAAATTCTCTAGGGAAGTATTTCAAAAGAATAATATTTTTAACATGAACATTTTTGACGATAAAACTTTATTTTTGTTAAGTTTGTGGGCTTTTCATTACGCTGTTTTCCCGCGAAAAAGCGGAGGTACCTATTTTTATATAATTTTTTAAACCACATATTTTGTTCACTGCTTCCTTAGACAATGTAACAAAAAAAAATCTCTTCACAGTATGACATATTCTTGCTTTTGTTTACTTTGACTTCTGTACATTGCTATTTTAGTCACTCTTTATTCAGTTTCAGTTCAATAGTTTTATATTTTTAACCAGGTAAGACAAACAAACTCAAGCAAAAAACGTGTTAAGGCAGATTGGAACTCTCTATTTCACATTTTTAACATGGATGAATTCTTGCATGTAACTGCTTACAGGATTTAGAAGATAACTTTTATCAAAAATTGTCCTCATGAGCATCTAATCTGGAAATATGGCTCTTAATCTCATTACTGCAGATTTTCTACACGTTTCCATGACACCCAAAATTGCATCAATCAAAAATTCATAGAAGTCTGTTTTATCTGCATAAACAGCCCTTTACTGGTAGGAACGATTATAGGCAGCAGGTTTTCCATGCAATAATTTAACACTCTTACATTTCTTTAACAAATTCATCATTTGTATATCATCAGATCAGTTTTTGGTTGTATACAATTATTTTTTAAAATAAAGCTTTCATTATTCTTATCAATAAAATATAAGAATTTGTCTAAAAGATGTTTGGAAAATTAAAAGAAAAATATCTTATTGCAAAGATCATTTAAAAAACAAATTAAAAGCACTCTTTGCTTTATATTCTGATAAAAGTAGAACACCTGCAACTTGGAAGAAAATGGCTGCCAATCTTCTCGATTGATTGACTTGTTTTTTATGGCTTATCAACATTTTTGAGGTTATTTAAAGATGATATTTATTTTGGATTGTATGAATTTTGGGGAGATAATGTTTTTCTGATACAAGTCTTACTATTTAACTCATAGCTGGGAGGAGCAGAGGTGAATTCATACTTTTCCCAAGGCTATTTTCACTGTAACGAACCCAACTGAAATTCGAACTCAGCTCTCTGATTACTCATTTCAAGCCTTTATTCCTTACACCATCGACACATTCAAGCTTACAGCACTTGGTATTCCTTTGTGGTCACTCATCTACGAACTTACCAGGTTTAACATTGCTTAACTTTGGTGATTGGTCAACAGCTGGGAATCTTAAAAACTCAACTCAAATTTTGTAAAAGTTAAACTGATTTATTGATAAATCTTTTTATACAAAAAAAAAAACTTCTGGGACCTAGACTGTTTTCTTCTTTTTTTTTTTTTTTTTTCCTTTGAATATGATTTGGTGATGGTTTTTCTGCAACAGTGTAAATATATTGGCTAGTCTGGATGCATCGAACAACAAAATGTCAACCATCTTAAGGAGGACTTTTATTAATTTTCTTTTACACATCTTTTATTTCCTTTGGCAATTTGTGAATAGGAAAATTTTTCAACATTATACGTTAAGCATAGCCATTTCTTTCCCTTTTTTGATAAGTTCTTATATTTTGCAAAAGTCTTCACATTTTGCACAAATCTTTATATTTTTCAATTTAATTTTTATAATAGAGCAAGCATTTTTTATAGACCATTTATTACTATACTGAGCTTAATCTTCATTAGGGATACCACATTTCTAGGCTTGTGGTAAATTAAGATAAGTTTACTAAATACTTCTCATACTATGCGCATCCATTTTTTTAAAATTAATAATTTACCTAAAAGCTTAACTTGAAAAGAATTCTGATTAATAGATATTTACAAATGAAAATATTGACTAAAGTTTCTCTACTAGAATACTGTATAGTTCACAGTATATTACAAATTTTTACATTAGTATTTCTGTCTTTTTATTTCTGTTGTTTTTTGATCACATCTCTTAAACTGTCATTCCATGATTGTTAATAAGCAGTGTGAAATGGAGACAAAAAGGAAACCCCCAATGAGATTTGAATTTAAAACCATTTTCCTTGAAGCTTTTTCTTTTAGGTACTGTGACCCTTCAATATGTGAGCAATCACAGCTCTCCACAACTTCCTAAACAATGTCACCTTACTATCCTTCTTGCTCCTGTTCTTCTGTTGGTCCAGCTTGTTAGGAAGGTTATTTGCCGTTTTACTTTGTAATGCCTATAATATGTCTGATGAGAGTCAAATTCACCAAAATTTCTTTTCTCGTTTATCCCAGAAATTTCAACTCTTTCATTCTGATTCCAAATATGTCTTTTTTGTTTAGATTTTCCTTAAAACTTCCTTGTTACTCACATGTTTCATCCATGATATTCTTAGCATCCTTCTGTAGAACCATATCTCTTTTGCTTCAAATTTCCTCTTCATCTGAAGAAATTGTCCAGCATTCACTGCCATATAGGAGGATTGACATTACATAGCAGTTTAGCATTTCTTAGTTTCTAATGAAATTTTTCTCCTTACAACCATAAATTCCGTTTTCTTACAACTAATACTTAGTTCTTTCTTTGCACTTTCCTTTACCACCTTGTCTTGGATGTATTGCAGTTATCTTTCTATATCTGCCATCAACACAATGTCACCTGCTTGTCTTATGTTGCTAAGGTAGCAATAATAAATCCTTGTAGGAATTCTAATTCTCTTTGGAACACCTTGCTCTATAGGTTGAATAAATCTAATGAGAAGATGCTGAATTGTCTTATTTCTTCTTTTATGTACTTGCTCTGTACATCTAATATCCATATTCAAATAGTTTGCTTCCACTAAATATTCTGATAACTTTCCCAAATAAATTGCTTACAGTCAAACCATACTAAAAACACTTTTTTTTTTGGTCACCAAAGTTTACTAGTGTTTAGACTGGTTGTTACATCTTGTGAACACTGGGTGCTGTAAAGAATTTCATAAAGTCTGAAATATATTTTAATCATCTGAGAGAACTGATTTTCTCTTCCATCAGCATGGCTGATGCTAACCTCAAGGACAGTGACTCATTGCACCTTCTCAAACTAGCGTTTTCCAATGACATGAAGTGGAAAGAGTATATTGAATCAAAATTGGTTCACTGTATAATGCGAGACAATTTTTCTCATCAGAATATATCTTACATACACCATTTGTCCTTGCTTTGAATATTGTTGTCACATCTGGTCTGGTTCCCCTGATATATATTTAGAGATTCTTGATAAAATCCAAATGAGAATCTGCAATGTTATTGGTCGTGATCTGGCATTGTGGCTTCAGTCACTTTCTCACCACCATAACATAGCTTCCTTGTATTTTTTGTATAAATGCTTTCATGGTAATTTTTCTGATGAACTTTCTTCTATGGTACCTAGATTTTATGAATTTAAGCACAGTGCTAGATTGGTGGCAACATCTCATCATTTTACAGTTGAAATGACTAACAGTTTCTTTTCTTGCAATTCTTGTTTGTGGAACTCCCTTCTGGCTTCTTGCGTTTCAGTCAACCTTGATCTTTGAAAATGCGAATGCAATGTCAATTGTTATTTTCTGTCTTCCTAATTCTTATTCTCTTGTTGTTCTCTCTCCTTAGAGAATATGAGAAAAAGAAATACTACTAACATTCATTATTTCTTTGTGTCTTAGTGCCTTGCTTGCGGTGAAATAATAAAAACAAATAGATCTTAAATAACCCACAAAGGGTTGAAAAAATAATCAATTAATCCCAAATAAATTGAGTTTTCCACACAAGTGAAATAGATCTTTGTGTTGTATCTTATTAAATATTCTTGTGATAGACGTCTTCCTGCATTTGTATTGCTTGTGCTGTTTATCCATAACAGATGCTCATATCTAAAAATAAAGTTTTCTGTAACCGTTTGCTTCAGATAGACAAGCTTACCGAGGAACAGGGAAGAGGATAATGTTTGAATAATTCTGGAAGATTATTCTTTATCCTTATATGCTGAGAGTTGTGATAAAAAGCAAATGAAATTAAGATGATAGAAACATGAGTCAACAACTAAGACTTGACAATGTGTCATTTATTACTAAATTCAAATAATATTGCACAGTTCTCTTTTTTCATCTCTTTTGTTAATCTATGTTAAATCAACTTACATTAACCAATAAGAAAATTTCCTGCTGTTTTTATATTTATAACAGAAATACAAATAATTTTTATTTGCATTTCTAGAATTTAGAAATAAAAACATTATTTATATCAAGTCTTTTCTTTGACATTTGTGTCATGAGTTTCAGATG